TGGAGAGCACCAAGGAAGGGCATTACCCTAGAGATCAGAGGGCGCGTCTAAAATATCGAGCGCGGTACTGTGGAAATAACCACAGTGTCTAAAAGTTTTTCGCGTCTAAAAATCTGAGCCGCGCATACTGTATTTTACAGTGTTTTTGAAAATAAACACGCTGGATTTTAAACACGAGCCGGATTTTAAACATATCCTTAGGTTTTTACACATGGATTTTAGGGTTTTTAGACACGTTCGCCTTTTTTAAACACGAATTTTAAACACGAGCAGAAATATACATGTTTTACACATGAAGACACATGAATTTCAGCAATGCAATCTTATTGCCATCAACCTTGAAAACAAAATAAACACGTTTAAACATGTCAAAAACATGTTTCGAATGGCTGCGGTGTGGAGAAAATGGTCGGTTCTACCAGACCGTTCATATTTATTCAAAAGGAAACACATGCGAGGTCAAGACCAACCATGAGGTGACATCAGCAACCACCGTACCGGGTCCAAAAACGTCGGTATGTTCTGTTTGAAACCCAGGGCCAAGGCAAATGTCAAGAAATCTTGTCTTGTCCCCAAGGCCACAACACATTTTTCTTCGCGCGCCCGGGCCCATCACCAAGTGTCGCGAAATTCTGCCTTGTAGTTGGTGCCCGGGTCAGAAGTGGCGATGTGACTGTTACTTTAGCGAAGTTTAACCCTGCCAAGTGCAAGGTTGAATTTGCGGCACGCTGCCCAAACATGAATGTTGATTGTAATGGGCGGGCCCGGTCTGGGTGGGTGACAGGCTCTGGGCCGTCCAAACCATACACATGCAACGATGGACTACCAGAGACACACGGTTAGCAGTTGCAAGCAGACTACACAAACACAAGCACGGCACACTCGAATTTTCCAACGTGGGTCATTTTCTTCCAAGATGCGGTTTACGATCCTAGGGCTTGTAATGCCCCGAGCAAGTGAAACCGCAGCTGGACTTGAGGGTACACAGACCAACCTTCAAACTTGGCAAGCCTGCTCGAAAGGCTGGTCAATGTACCCCCAATTCCTGCTGCGATTGCAATGGTTCGGGGCCTTACAGGAATAGAATCGTAAACTGCATCCTGGAAGAGGATGACCCTGGTAGGACAAAAAAGTGTACTATGCTGGCTGTGCTTCTGCCACATGTGTTTGCACCTTTGTTGCAGGTCAGAACGTACCGCAGAGCCGGAAAGTGCCTTCGGACTGTGACAGGTGTGTTGTGGAGCCGTTTTAAAAGTCCATGTTTGAGCACATGGGAAATAACTCCGCTTACTTTTTGGCTTGCTCTTGCGACT